ATTTTTTAAAAATTTTTATTCCTGAAGGAAAAAAAAAACCTTCTTTTCCCCCCTCCCCCCCCCCCAAAAAAAAAAAAAAATCTAAATTATGCAAGTCCTTATGACTTTCAACAAACTATATTCAATATAAATACAAATTCCTGTGTATTTTGTGACATATATTGAGAACACTTTTTCAATTGATATAATAAAATTGACGTGCTATGGGGTAGCAGGAATCTGTATCATTGTCAGATGAAGTGTTGGGTCCTGCTGAAACTTAAGGTGGCAGCACATTTCTCAATAAGGTCTGACTCTGGGAGTAGGATGAACTGAGACCAAGAAGAAGAATTGTTCCGTTTTGTACGCAAGACTAGTGACCCGTCTGCTTCGGTGAAATGCTGCATCACTATTGAAACGCCAGTGTTTAGTTCTCTTATTTTGAATGAAATGGTCGGAAGCTGTAAACTCACTCCCGGAAGTTTTTCTCTTTTTTTTATTTTTCCTGTTTTCTGGCTGCAGAAAGAGAAAAAGTCGTGCTTAGCTTAGGTTGATCGTATGTTCGAATAAAATCTGTAGGGCGGCCGAACTGACCTCATGGACCCGAACCGAATTATCCAGGCTCTGAAGGGCACAATCGACCCGAATCTGAGGTTAGCGGCGGAGAATGAGCTTAATCAGGTGGGGGAAGCAACGCTTATTTCTGCGTCTCTCTGCGTTATCAGGCCTGACAAAATAGTTGATGAAACTGATCCCAGGCAGCTGGAACAAAAGATTCAGAGCCATTCTGACAGGCAGGTGGCCCAGCGGCGGTGAGCCTGTGTGTTCGTTGAGCTGCTGTTCCACAGCTGTCTGGCCTGCTGTATCAACATCTCAGCATAGTTAGCAGGAAATACTCTCGGGAAGGGGTGTTTTAATATCAGCCAGACAGTGTAAGGATAGAATCAATGAACTAAAGGATATTCTTTCATTGCTGTCTAATTTCTATGTAAGATGTAAGACAAAGCTTAGTTACCAAAATATTTTTGGTATTTGTCACTTTTGTCGGTGTTGATGTGACTTTAGAACTTGAGTAATTCCCTTTGCCATGCTGTCTGGGCTCAGTCCTGATCAATGTTGACCCATTCTTCTCTTTTTTGTGTCTATTTTTGAAATCTGACCACTATTTATAAACAGGTTAAGATTTGGGCCAGTAATCTCGTTTTTGAGCCACTTATTCCTTGTAATGTGTGCTTCATTATAATTTGGTGGTAATCCACAAATCAAATCAGATGGTTGCCCATGGATGTCTTGACCCCACTCTTTCTGCATGCTAATGTTGTTATTCATAATTGTGAGGAAGCCCATGACCTTGTAGGAGAAGTATGAAATATGGGACTGAAATATGGGATGCACTATCAACAGCACAAAGGGGTAATTAATCACATTCATGTGATTAATCACATTCACTGTGTATGCATGTATCACATACTTAGAAATCACGTGGCACCAGGATGCACTGAAGAAAGCAGGTGAGTCAGAGATGGCGGTGTAATGCTTTGGGCAGTACCCTGGGTCTTGCTATCCCTGTGAATGTTACTTTTACATACCTACTCAAGCATTGTTTCAATCCAAGCATCACTCTTTATGAAAGCAATTCTTGACGTCTGAGGCCTTTTTCAGCATAGTAGGTAGATCCTGTATGACGCATCTGAATGGAGCGCTCCATAAACAACAGAGATCCATAGCAGCTCCACCTCACAACTTACAAGACTTAAAGAATCTGCTGTGCTACAGCACACCTTCATGGTTCTAATGGGCTCCAGACCGCCAGGTGATCAGGGCTGTTTTAGTAGCAAGGGTTTTTATAACTTAACTGTACTGTAAAGTTATCCATAACTTTCTCCTTTACTTGTCTGCAGGGCTCCTTGGTCTTCACAATGTTGTTTGTTCTCTAATGTGCTGTAAGGCAAACTTCTGAAAACAGACACAGAACAGCTTGATTTCGACTTTAGATTAAATTGAACACTAATGGACTCTATTCGACGAGTTCAGAATTGAGTTGGAGGGGATTTTATTCAGAGATGTAAATGTAAAGAGGGTGAATAAAATAGGCAGCACATTAATGTTTTTAACACATACATTCCTAATAAAACACAGTGAGATTTGTGAAAATGTCTATGATAAGAAACACACTCCAAAAATTAATACAAATTAATAATAATAATTTGCAATAATGATAATAATAATAATAATAATTTAAATCAAATCTTTATCTTGTGAAAGAACCTGCGAAGTTTCTCATCAATGTCTTTTCAAATTTGAGAGAACTTCTCCTTACTCAGGGTTTTCTGTCTTTTTTCTGTCCTTCTCTATAATGTAGCCAGGACTTTCAGGTTAGCTTGACAAACTTGGTTTTTACAGCCTTTCTGACAGTAATCATCTTTAAGAATGACCATGATAAACTTATAGAACCAGCTGGTAGAAGAGTAGAAGAATGTGCTAAGCAGTTTTTGGAAGAAAAGAAAGCTGGCTTCATATATAGGAGATATTTTCAACCAGATCAATACAACATCCTCATTTCTTACATTAAGGTTTGAAAAGATAAATGGCTTGTTTCATTCTTTGAAATATTAGATGGAAGATGGATGAAATGGTTCATTTTAAATCTGAGCTAAAAGTTCAAACAATCTTTCTTTCTGTGTTTCAGTCCTATAAGATCATCAACTTTGCTCCCACCCTGCTTCAGATCATTGTGTCAGAGCAGGTGGAGTTTCCTGTCCGCCAAGCAGGTAAGACTGTAAACTCTTCAGCTGTCTTTGGGGTCAACTATTTAATTTTTCTCCAGTAGTGAAAAGGTTCAAACCTTCCCACTAGTGGAGAATTTTTTTTTAAAACAAATTTTAATATGTTTTGCTGACTACAGGCAGAAATTAGCTTTTGTAGCTACAATCTGGCACAGCACATCGCTGGTTAATGTATGTTGTTCATTGTACCATTTTTGAAAAATTCATTCACTCATTTTGTGCTCAATGGAAAAATATTTTTATTTTGATATTCTTTCTTATGCGTTTCCATAGCAGCGCGGACAGATGCAGCAGCTCTGAGCTCCTCTCATTGTCAGTGTTTTTTTTGGTACAAACAGTACGTAATTGAGGACTTTATACAAACGCACAACATAGTCACATAGGACATTCCTCCCAATGGGCAGGAATGAGAAAACATTCCTGCCCGTTTGTGGGGATGCAGAGCTGGCACCTTGGCACAGTTACAGAGAGGGCCACACAAACTGCCTCTGCCCAGCATTTTTCTCTCAAATGCCAGGTCCCTCATAAATAAGATGGATGAGATGAAGCTTCAGTTGGCAGCAAACAGACTGGTAAACGACAGTTGCATTTTGCTAATCACGGAGACCTGGCTCCATTCATTTATTCTGGACGCAACTATCGAGCGGGCAGGACACACAGCACATAGATATGTTCTGTTCCATTGTGTTCTGTTGCTGGCATTTGTCGGACAAGTTGGACGCTCTTGACGTGTTGAATGCTCAAAATGCTCCAAACCACCCCACAACGGGCCCTCGATGCTCCACGTAGGCTTTGAATGTAAACCAGACGCACCTGTGAACTCACCATTACAATCGAAGGATCTGAATGTCATCCATCCGTCCATCCATTTTTTACACCTTGTCCTGGTGGGATTGGGAGGGGTGCTGGTGCTTATCTCCAGCAAGACACTTCAGGCGAGAGGAGGGATACACCCTGGACAGGTTGCCAGTCCATCGCCGCAACACAGGGCAACACGGAGACAGACAGGACAAACAGCCATGTACACACTCACAACTAAGGAGAATTTAGAGAGACCAGTCAACCTGACAGTCATATTTTTGGACTGTGGGAGGAAGCCGTAGTACCTGGAGAGAACCCACTCATGCACAGGAAGAACATGGACACTCCATGCAGAAAGACCCTGGACTGGGAAACAAACCCAGGACCTTCTTGCTGGAAGGCAACAGTGCTACCAGCTGCGCCATTGTGCAGCCTAAATCTGAATGTTAACAATACCTAATAAAAATTAGGTATTTTTATTAGGGGGTGTTGGTGTGATGATGTATTATCCACCCTCTCCAGTACAGTCTCTGAGTTTATTGTTGTCATGGCTACTGCTGTATACATTCCACCTGTTGCTACTCCAGCACAGCTCTTAGCCATTTGAATAATCTCCTGAGTCAGCAACAGAACAAACACCCAGAGACAGTGCATGTGGTCGTGGGTGATTCTAATCATGCTGATTTGAAAGTAGTGCTCCCTAAATTCCATCAGCACATTAAATATGCCTCCAGGGCAGCGTTTCTCAAACTTTTTCAGGCTGAGGACCACTTAACCCGTTTAACAAACACTTGTGGACTATCTAACTCAGGGGTGGGCAATCCTGGTCCTGGAGGGCTGGTGTCCTGCAACTCTTGGATGTCTCCCTGGTCCAACACACATGAATCCAACAGCTGAATCACCTCCTAAGTGCAGTCAGGTTCTCCAGAGTCCTGCTAACGAACTCATTATTTGACTCAGGTGTGTTGAAGTTGAGACGCATCAATCAATCAATCAATCAATCAAATTTTATTTGTATAGCACATTTCAACAGCAAGGCATTTCAAAGTGCTTTACATGTGTAAAACACAGTCATGTAACAATGAATAAACAAAAATCCACACCCATTTTCTAACCCTTTAGAACTTTTGTTAAAACACCGTTTAACTGGGATTCTAACCCTTTAGGACTTTAGTTGAAATGCCGTCAACCGGGACTCTCACCCTTATTTAACCATAAGCAACTCTGAGCAGGTGGGTTTTAAGTCGAGATTTAAAGGCACTCAGTGATTCAGCTGTTTTACAGTTTTCTGGAAGTTTGTTCCAAATCTGTGGTGCATAGAAGCTGAATGCTGCTTCTCCTCGTTTGGTTCTGGTTCTGGGGATGCAGAGCAGACCAGAACCAGAAAACCTGAGGGGTCTAGATGGTTGGTACAACAACAGATCTTTAATGTATTGTGGTGCTAAACTGTTTAGTGATTTATAGACTAACAACAGTATTTTAAAGTCTATTCTTTGAGCTACAGGGAGCCAGTGTAGGCAAGGGAGTTGGAACAAATTTATCATTGGGGGGGACACGTATCGGAAACCTGAAAGATCCGTAAATAGCTTGAGCAAAAATGTCAAACAATGGTGTCATCAACGAGTTACTCTAATCTGACCCCTTGTAACGTCTAATCTAACGTGTTACTATTAACAATCCAATAATCAGATTAAATTATCCAAGTCACTTTGTGTTTGTAATTTTTTTTTTGAAAACACATATTGTTGCTTTCTTCCTTTTCTGTGGGGAGATACGTTTTAACACCAGCGACACGAACGTAAATGATGGAGGGAAAAGAGATGCACATTTTTTAGCTGATGGACGAATTTTTCATTGAGTAATCAAATTACTCTTTCAAAGTAACTATGCCATCCCTAGTGTGATGGACTGAGTTAAACAGGAGGAGTTACAGGATATTAATTAGAAAAATAGGTTTTTTAAATTTTAACCCAAAGATTATAAATGACAAAAGGATAAACTGAGCTCATAAAAGAGGTCAAAGAAACAAAACTGAACTCAGGCAAAAAAAATGTAAAACTGGCTGCACAAACAAACATAACTGACCTAACAAAGAAATGACACACAGGGGTTTATATACTGGCTGATCAGACCAATTAAGACACAATAGGGATAACTAAACAGAATACAATTACAAATAACACAAAACAACTAACAGTACAGCTAAGTTTGGCTAAACTAAAAACCCCAAAAAATGAAAATCAAAAATATTAAATTTAAATACTAATATTTACTTGAATAGAAAACTTATCTAAATAAAGAAACTACAAATTCCCCCTGCCAGCAGGAACTAGTGGTGCAGTCCAATCAGCATTTAAGCCTGCTGAGCCCTGGCCCCCATCTTTTGTCTGGCCACTCCAAGGCAGGTAAGTACCGGCAAAAAACAAACAAAGTTAGTTGCAAACAAATTTAACTTTAAAGTTGATATAAATACATGTTAACTAAATGTGCGCGCCAACATAAAGAACAAATGTATCCAAATCAACTAATAAATGTTTTACCGAAACTAAAGTGTTGTATTTGAATGAAAAAAATAAATTGTGAAAACTAAATTGTGCATAAAAGACTTCTGCCTTCAGAGTGTGGCCATGGATTTGGTCATCACACCTGGTAATAGACCAACTACACTATATAGCACATGTTTGTAGGCCTGTCACAATAACAAATTTTGATTTATGATAAACAATATTGTTGTTTTGAGACCATTTTTTTAGTAATATAATATTAATTGCAAAATAATAATGCAAGAACACAATCTGAAAGATAAGTAAACTTTAAATTATAATGAACATTTAACACTGCAACTGGAAGACATTTCAAATATCCAAAATAAATAAAACGACAAATAAAAGTAATTTTGAAGTTTTTGTAAATAAAATTTTCCTTAAAAAAAAAGCTTTAGTTGATACCAAAGCTAGAGTTGCCACCTGTCCCTTAAAATACGGAATCGTCCCGTATTTTTATAAATGTCCGATAGACACGCCTATCACACACATTGTTACTAAGTGTAACAATAATAACCAAAATAAAACAGGAAATATTAAGGTCGGGTAAATTCTCTTTGCGGAAGCTAAAGGACCCCTGAACGCCACGGATGGACGCTGACCTAGAGATGGACACTACGCAGGTGCAGTGAGCTGCTATCAACCTGGATATTTTTAAAACGTCCTCAGTCCGATTCTCCACCGTCCTTAGAAGCAAAACTCCTCGTAAAGATATAGACGTGAGAAGGAAGACGCAAATCCCAGGCTGAATAATGTTAGTGAGGATGAACAAAGGCAATTAAAAAAAAAATGTGTCCAGCGCAGTGCAATACCAGACATAATCAGGAGAGAAACACAGCAGACCCTGATGTGGTAACATTTTGCTATGACTAAGTTTCTTATTGTGTTTTTAGTAG